CTGACCTCTGTCATCATTTTAAGTGGGGGAACTTGCACAATCGGTGGCTGACTAAATACTTTTTTGCCCCACTGTATATACACACATATAAATACACATATACATATATACACTGTCAAAGATACTTGTCTTTGAGTGAAGATTTAAGGTGACAGGAAATATAAATAACTGCAACTTGAATCTCTGACAGAGCTCAAGCTCACTGCTGTAATATATATATCATAATAATCTGACAATACAAATAATATGCCATATTATATTTACATACATCATTAAGTGAGATGATTTTAGTCTCATGAACAACATTAGCTAATTGTTATTTACTAGTTAATCTTATGACTGTTCAGTACAGAAATGAAGCCCAACAATCATGTTTTACAGTCCTGTGGTCTCATCCTCAGATACTCAACTAATCAAAGTGATGTCATGAAAAAATGAATGACCAAAAAAACTTTCTCCTTTATTTCTGTCACACAAAGCTGTATGAAACGTTTCTCGCGGTTAGTATCATGGTTGCTAAGCAACCTGAACAGCGCGACGAAGGCTAGACCGTCTCATTTCACAAGCCTCTCACTTCCGCACTTCCCGTACTTATAGTACGCACCGTACGTAGTACGCGAACTGCACGTACTCCAAGCGTGCGGTCTTTTAATTGGGACACAGCCGGAGAGAGCGGGCAAACACCCCACACACTCCCACAGCATCACAGGATGTAACACAGATCATGGACAAACAAGTCATTCACAACAGTTTAAATATTGGCATTCATTTTTATTTATTGATTTTTAGCACAAGCTCAGATAAACAGGAAAGGAATCCTATGAAAGCAGTCTAAAACCTGTTCCAAATTAAAAATACAGAACCATTAATTTGGCAAACCTTTGAGAAATGAGTGCAGTACCTTTGGAAAAGACTCAAAGTCACAATAATCTTTATCCTACTTTACCATCTTCTAGACTTCGGTCATAGTGCAATACAGCATCTCTGTAGCTTTAGCTGACTGCAAAACTGACTTCATCTGAACCCATTCATCATTAGTACAATAAGCCCTATGCGCAGTATCTTGTCAACTTTATTTCCTTATGAAGTCCCCCTCCCCAGATATTAAAGAAGTAAAGAAAGAAAGAAAACAATGAAGTACATGCAGGCGAAAAAGTCCATTTAAACTCAATATTAAAAAACAAACAACTGTTAAGGATAGATAAACTAGAGCAACAAAATCTTACAATTCTAATGTCCTATGTCACAGTGGAGCACCTGTCACGCCTTTCAACAGCCAAACAGTGCGAGTCATTCAGCATTTAGCAAATACAGGGAGTGCAGAATTATTAGGCAAATGAGTATTTTGTCCACATCAT